CCTGCTGAAGAAGTCTTCACTTGTGCTTGGTAACTTGATTTGGCTTGCTGTATTGCTGTGCTACTTTTTCCCTTAGTATATTTCTTTTTCCTTCTCTAGTTTCTGGGCAGTTTTAGCAGTTTTAAGAAGATGAAGGATGGGACAAACAGCATTTCTAGTTATGCTCCAAATGCCTATGTGCAAAAGGAGGAACTGCATGTGTAAGTACTTGGCACAGAAAAAAGGGTGTAGAAACGTAGCATTTATTCCAACAAGAACGAGACGCTGCAAACTAGGCACTAAGCTGCTTCTCTAAAATGAATAAGGTCTTGGGTTTCTTTTGTTTATTTATCTAGGAGTGTGTTATATTTGCCTGAGCTTGTAAGTAAATACAGTATCACCTAAAGAAATCACATATTCTTAAGAACAGAAAAAACAGAAATCAGTGCAACAACAGTATTTTTCTCGGCTATGTATATACACTGATGCCTGGAGACCTCTTCACTGGACAACTTTCAAAACACCTGCTTTACAATCATAAAAGCAGGGGTATGCTTTTCTGTTATTTTTAATAAACAGATTCAATAACTCCCCAATTTTTAATAAACCAAACCATGTATTTTAATACAATAAAAAACCTCAACTTATTCTAAGTTGAAGTAGCCCCGCTTGCTCTGAGTGGAAGGCTAGACCAAATGATCTTTTAAGGCACTTTCCTAAACTATTCTATGATTCTAAGACTCAATGGTTAAGTACTTCATGACTAGTCACAAAAGCCACAAAAGGAAGAAATGAAAAAGGGAAAAGAATACTTCTAAGTAAAAGTGTCCTTATAGAAAGAATCAAACAACCTTCTTACTCACTTTAATGCTTTGCTTTAAATTTACTATTGTTGCAGTTCACTGCCTGGGAGAACTAAGAATTCTAAAGTGGTATCAGTTTTTGCAGAGATGTTAAAATAAAATTGTGTGGACAAAATACAGGAAATACAGCCTGGAAAACCAAAAATAAATGTGTATTTTTAAGAAGTAAACTCAAAATATCCACAATTTTATAAGCTGAAGGGAAAGGCTCCAAGAAAATGTTACAAATAGTTTTGTCCAGAATTTCCTTTAATATCTTTGGAGACTTATCTGTGCCAAAGCTGTTAATTCTGTTTCCTGACGTTTTAAGGAGTTAGGTTGGCAACTTGTATCTGCATGGAGAAAATGTTATATGGAATGACTGGCTGTGAAGCTTCTCACCTTGTACAACAACTTGGTTACTGGGTACAAGTATCTGTTGTCCATCTGTGGTCTGTGCATATTGTAAAATGGTGGTGCCAGGTTGGGTTGCAGCTGCATTGGTCATAGTCAATGTCTGGAGACCTTGTACTCCATCTGTGCCATTGTTAGACAACTGTATTGCTCCTCCTTGGGTAATAGCAACTGAATTAAAAAAAAAAGAACAGCATTTAAGACAATGATTTTCTCAGTAACATACAGTATTAAACCTAGATATGGCAGAATAATGATCTGAGTTAAATCCCTTGAACTCTTATACACCCACAAATCAGACACATGGCTTTAATGTACATTAAAGAAATCATGCTTTGAAAGCAAGTTGTCAGTTAGTCATGAAACCTCTATTTTTTTGGGGTGGCAAAACCCACAGCCTAAACCACAGATTAGTTTCTCTGATAAAACAGTATCACATTGAGGAGGTAGAATCCTCCCCCAGGAAATACTTTTTAATTTCTTAGTTAATATTTTCTCTTGGTTGGTTTAGAACTTTTCCTCACATCCTTTCTTCTCATGTGAAATTCCTCGCCTTCTCCATGCTTTGCGCCTTTCACTTTCCTACTGCTATTACTATCCATTTTGTGTTTCACTTTCTTCTTGCTTTGGCTTCTTTTTTTCTCCTTCTGATTGTATCCCCCTTCTCTACAATTTCCTCAGAGCCTCCCTAGCAGTGTTTTCATTGACAAAGGTCCAGTTTCAACTTTTTTTTTTCCTTCAAGCAGTCTTACTTTGCTGGGTTTTTTCCCTTTTATTCCCTCAATCCTGTCATGCAGGTGTGCTGAAACATCACCCCTCATTTGTGATTCCACAGGATTTCACTGTGTTCTTATATACAGGCACACCAAAATCTCAAGAATCTGCACAAGCAGTTATTTTACAGTTACACTAGGAAAGCAGAGTTAACCACATCAGTTTCAGTAAAATTAAACAGGCTATTAGGCAAAGTGGCTAAGGAGTAAACAGATACAAAATTTTAAAGAGGTTTTAAGACAAGGGTACAAACAAGTAAGTTCTTTCTCCCTTTGGTATATTTAATACTCTGTGTTTGTGTGAGACAGCATGTGAATTCTAGCTTTACTGCTGTATTCTCAATCCTTAAAGCACTTAAAGCACAATTAAAGCACTGTGTGAAATCTAGTGAATAAAGAAAACACAGAATCATATATTTATTACATATTTTTAATAACGTGGCTGAAGTTCTTATTTTTCCAGGACTTTCTAAAAATGTAATTGCAGACTGTAACGCTTTTTCTATTAATGAGGTTACAATTTTGTGAACCAGTATTCATCATCTGCCAGGAAAAAAAGAAACTTCTGAATTACCTCATCTGGTTCCTGGAGTGAAAAGTTTGTAACAGCATTATGGTTAGTCCATATTTTACCTCAGGATGCATTAGCTGCACTAACTGGCAAGAAGTCCCAGAATGTTAACTGAACATTTCAAATACTTACAACAGGAATGTGTTTAAAAGACTTGGTTATCAAACAGTCAAATTAAAATAATCTTATTTTCACCTCCTGCTTTGTCCTAGTCCAAACAGTTATAGAAATTATAGTTCTTCATCTTCTCATCCCCACTTACTAGCACCACTGAGAAATTCAGACTACATACTGTACTGCCCACTGCTGGTTTGGTAAATGGGAGTTGGCACCGTAACAGTGGCGATGGCAGGTGCTGCTGTTTCCTCTTCAGACTTCTCTTCTTCGATCCTTGGCACTCCTGGGGCGTCTGAGGACAAGTCATTCAAAATTTTTCTGGCAAAGACAGTGTGTTGTAGAGATTTTAATAAAAATTGGAGGAAAAGAAAAAAAAAGTTTATTTGATACATAATGCTGCAGGAAACTGAAAAGTGCAATACGCCAGCAAGGAAAGTACGGGTGCAGAATGGAAAACCTGCACCATCTTCAACGTCTTATGGAGAGGACTGTTCAAAGTACCATTCACAGATGGGCAAGGAAGCCAGCACAGAACAGCTGTGTTTTAGTACACAAGACAAAGATGCCTCTCAGCAGGTTCTTCTCAACACAAGTATCGGCTGTCACAACCTTCCCTTTTACTTAAAAGCATGTTTCTCTCTAATGAATTTTTACTTGTTTCCTGCTTGTAGCCACATAAAGATTTGACGAAAGCAAAAGTATATAAAACCTTGTCTCCTCACGTACACTAGAGGAACTGCTTCATTTCAGAGACTGCAAACTTCTCAGCCAGAGAGCTGAGTACAAAGGAAGTCAGCAGAAATACTTGTACAGAGCAACCAGTTTATAGTGTAACACCTGCCTGGGAGGCAATACTGAGTGTGTTTGAGTCAAGTCACACAGTTATGTTTACAGGTGCCCTGCCCAAGCAAGCTGTGACAGTAGCATGGGTAAAAGAAAAGAACACGTGGTTTAATTACTTTCAAAGGTTAATTATCCAAACCAAAAACTGCTTAAACATCACTGCTACAGGTCCCACTGAACATGACTGCAAGACTAACCATAGCAGTTACTGCAATTTGCATCATGTAGACCAAACACTGTCCCTCAGAGAACTGTCAAGCCCTTTTCACTGCTGGCATATTTTATTATGTCACTGCAAAATGCTACTCAGGTAAAGGGCGACATCTTTTGTAATTCTCCTCATGTTTTCGGGTGGACTGTCACTAGAACTCAAAGTGTGATGAAGCAAACACAGCTGCAGACCCCAAGCTCCAAAGCAATACTGATTTCCTAAATAAGGCTCCTAAGGCTTTGGGAGCCAGAACATCTGTATGGAGCTATTTGGCGACAGCAGTCACTCTGCTAAGCAACTTAACAAACAGGGCTTTGCTGATGCTGGTTTGATGGTGTGCATGCAAGAACCCCAGCACTGCACAAGCACTCCACTGTGCCAAGCACCACTTGGACAAATGAAAAATTCCCATCCAGAGAGTTTGCAATTACGTGTTAGACCAGAAAAACTAGTAGACAAAACAGATGAAGAGCCTTCTATTCTGTGAACCCATCTTGTCTCTGGGGCCAGATACAGCAGCTTGAAGAACGCCCACCAGGAACTCATCCACACAGCAGTAGTCTGGCTCAGCCTTTCTGATGTGATTCCTACACTGGCCCACAGTCTGAGCTGCATATACAAGTTTTACAGTTACAAAGTTTTGCCGAGTCACCAGAATCTGGTTTGAGGACAGAGGCTGTGATGTGGTACCAGTGCATGCAAAGGAGTCCATCTCAATGAGAAGCAAGCATGCACAAGTGTCCTCTTCTCAGCTTTGCTGCTTGTTTGCTTAGCTCTGTTGTCTCACAGTATACGCCATTCTTCAATACACAGTAAAAGCCAGTGCCTCACTGCAGAAGCAGACTGCAAGGAAGTCTGTGGCAGCCTTGAAGTTAGCAACACTGCTCCTCACACATCTATCAAGGCTTGGGGTCTTCAGCAGTGACTTTCAATATCTGCACCAGAACAGCCTTGAAGGCTGGTAGAAGAAAATAATCTGCAAGTGCTAATAAATGGTTGAGATATGCCTGGGCCTAGAGTCTAGCTTGTATTTCTAAAGTTATGCTCATGAAGAAAAAAGGAGCATGTGAATATACTGAAGCAGCAGTAATCTACAAGTCACTTAAAACCAGAACTCCCGAGCTGTTCCTTAATGCTATTTAGCATGTTTTAAGAATGAAAAGTGAGATTTAGTACAGCCAGAAAAAGCTGTACAAGGGCTTAATTAATAAAGTAACAACACTAACACCATGTGAAGGAGCACATGAACTGTTGTTATCACAGAAGTATTTGCCATGACAACTAAAGATACTAGATGCCTATCACTACATTCAACTCATACCCTGGCTTCTTAAACTTTAAACACAACCAATTTTGCTTAAGCCAAATTTTTCTCTGAGCCACAGAACACCACATGTTCATCGAAAGTCTCATGGGAGAAAGGAATTAAGTTTGACTGCTGCTAGCATTTCAACAATGATGAAAAACAATAGCTGATTTTTTGCAGACTACAGATTATACAGAAGCCACCTGCTTGCAAAGCTTCAGTGTATTTTATGTATTAACTATCCATTAAAGCTACCTCTGAGGGACCTAGCACAACGATACCTCAATGTTTCACAAATGTGGCAATTAGCTTATTCTCAGCTCATTTCTGTCTTAACTGAGCGTAACAGCTGAGATTTCTTCTTCCTCCTCCTCCTATTATCTCTTTACATCCTCTTCCATGGAAAACACATTGAGGAAAAGAGGCACCCATTAATGGTAAATCTAGAAACAACTATATAATCACACTGTTGGTCTCCCCACATGAGGAACACATCCATCAAGCAAATGCTTCTGCTTTTAACTTCCGTACCTGTAGGAGGGTCGTCTGGAAAGGATTTCTCTTCGTTTCTGTGAGTCTGTGACACTGTCTACTGATTCCTGTGAATCTTCACTTTCTGCTATGGTGGAGATCTGTAAATAAAAACAGCAAACAAACTTAACAAGACACTTCCAATATCTTTATTTCAAGGAAATGTTGACATCCTGGGAAAAACACTACGATACAAGTATTCTACAGTGCTTCTACCCAGTCAATGAACAGAAAGGAGAAGCTGTTTAGTAACAGATCCAGGGAGTTATCTACCCATGAGAATGTTCTTTATAATTTAAATACTGTAATAAGAAAATATAAACAGTAATTCCATGCACTTTTTGCTTTCCATAATTTCTTGTTTCCATCCATTTTAACAAAACTCAGAAAGATTTTTTAGTAAAATTTAGGGAGAGAATAACTAAAACCAGATTAAGATATCAGAAACGACTGGAAACAAAAGAGCAAAATACTGAAGTCGAGAAACATCAACTTATAAATCATTGGGTGGATAATGTTACAGAGACTGCTGTTGGGTGGAAATTGTCAAACATGAAGATGCTAAAAAACAACCCAGTGCTGCAATTCTGAACATCTGTGCTAAAAAAAGACAAAGGTTTATGAAGGAAAGCTAAAATGTTTGTATCAATCACATTTGTGTGCCAAAAATGTAAAACCATCTTTGATACGTAAAAATAGAGACTGTTTTCCAGAAGACTACACTCATGTGACAAATGTACAAAAGCTAATGATAGATAGTGAACAGAGAAATGCCTGTGTGAGAAACCTACCTCACAGCCTGTCATTTTATGCACTGTAGGAAAGATTCCTAAAGCCTCAAAAAGGTTGCTGGCGCCCACATCTCAGTTATCAGATAGAGGGCCTGAATAGGTCTGAGGCTGATGGTGAACCACCAGGCTTTAAATACCCAAACGTGCTGGCTTTGCACTGAGCCAGGTGAATTCCAAGCATGGTTTCAATGTCAGTCTCTTATCTTCCACCTCTGGGCTAGTAACTTGTCCACTTATCTGAACACTGCTCACCTCCAGTAGATTAAAACTCTAAAGTTTTGACTCCAAGGGCTGAGGGGGGTAAAGCCTGCCAGAAACTCAGCACTAAAGCTGACAAGGAGTAAACAAAGATTATTATCACAATGACCTAATTTTAAATTACAATGTCTTATTTTTTAAAATAATACCAAGTAAATATCTGCATCAAGTAGTCACAATGTCTGCTTTTAAAAATGAAACATTTTTTGTGCTCAGTGTACCAACAGCAAAGGAATGATGTACAAATCCTTGCCCTGTGTAGCTGCTGTATGCCAAGCAACTTCTCTTTCTGCATTCAGCGGCACTGAGTTTAAAGTAGTAAAAAAAAAAGAATAAAAAAATATTACAGGTTTTACAGATCTCAGACTACTTGTCTCTTATGTGCTCAAGCTACCTCATCATATTGTATTATCTGGCTTGCGTTACAGAAGAGAAAATGTTAAGGCTTCAAAGGCAAACAAAGTTCAACAGCAAATTTTAAACCCATTTTTATGAGAGGACTGATAGGTTTATTTTAAGGACCATTAACACAGACACCTGTTTTGTAAACCAATGCAAGTATTTTTGAAGTAGCAAAGACTCTCATTCCAGAATATCAACCTCATCAATGATTAAACATTATTAAAAAACCCAAAACTTTTTGCTCACTTCAGAACCGTATGAACTCTTACTCAATAAAAATGTATGAAAATACAATGGAGAGAAAAGGTAGAGTAATACTGTAAGAAAAAACATGAAGCTGTTAAAACTCACCCACCAAATTCTAGAAAGAAATGAAACTCAGCAATGTTTATAAGTGGTAAGTGGTTAAACCAGAACAGAAAAAGTCACAGAGCAGCAAAGAGTGTACAGATTTTGCCTTCAATATGCTCTTAAAGTTTATGTAAGCAAAACCACAGTCTAGAACACAAACACATTAGAAATTAGAGAACTGACAGGAGTACTTGAAAGGCCCAATTAATGTATTAGGAATTTCTTCCGTCAGTACCTGAACTGTCTGGACCTGTGGAGACTGAATAACTGATGGCTGAGCAGCCTGAATTACTCCATGCACTTGAACCGTCTGCCCATTGGGCAGCTGAACTAAGGTCACCGTGGGTGCAGAAGATGTTGCGTGAGCTGCTGGCATAGATACCTGCAACGAGACAGTGGACATAAATTAGGTTATTGCAAAATCTTCGTATTTTACTACCAAGAATACACAGTGGTCAAAAAATTCTGTGTCTTCTAGACCCCAGTTAGACGACCCAAATGTTTCAGTGTAATATAAACTCCCCTGAACTGCCTAAACCCAACATCTGACCTACTTTACGAATTAATCTAATGCAGAATTTCTGCAGGCTCAAAACATCACTTGTAAAACCACTGATAAAATGAGAAAAACACAACTGCCCCTATTCTGAGGTAACCTAATAAAAACACATTATTACTTTTCGCTTACTTCAGTTTAGATACTGCTAGGACTTGGGTGTACTCCTACAGACACTGCTGAGTCAAAGGCAGAAGCATATGGGAGTGGAGCTATTTTTGTTCTCACTCAAGAAAATGCAAAGTGTTTGCCAGATGTATGAAGTTAAAATTCTTAGGGAGCCATATCTTCTGGACTTTCTAGAGACTAAACCACACTGAGTAGCTGGTGAAGTCCATTTAAATGAAGAAAGCTGATCACGTGGTCAGACATGGGTTTGCAGTGAGAAACAAATGGTTTGTAGGCTATTACTGTGATTCAGTGTAATAGGTCAACACAGATTCTAGTCTTAATTTCTATGACATTTTAAACACTCAGTTCCTAAACACAACTTTGTCTCTCCAGCACAGACCTGTAGGCACAGCAGCTGTGCCAACAGGGACACACTAATGACTTCAGCAGGGTATATCAGCACTGCGTGCAGAGCCACTCATGTCCTGTGCAGGGGCTCAGGCTCTGATGACAGCGATACCCACACAGAGCTGTTCACATCACACAGGGAAGTCTGACTCTGGCAGGTCACAGGAACTATTATGGACAGCTGAAGGGCCATGCACCGAGGTTGCTGCGTGGCTCGGCAGATACCCCAGAGCACATCCAGTACTCAGCAACTGTCTGGTGACATGATACGCGTGTTCATGGCTGGGGGTGCTCCTGAAAGGCAAGAGGGTGCCAGGGCTGCTGTACCAGCCAGCGTACATGGCCCTCGGTTTGCATCTGACTCACACCATCACAGCGCTCAGGGAATGACTATGATGTGTGAGCTGCTCTGGCAGACCTCAGCCAGGTTATGGGTCACTCACTAGCCAGCCTTCCACTAGACACCCAGGTTTGGAAAATTTAACAATCCTCCAGTGTTCAACAGCATTTTCAAGGAATTTGACCCATGTAGCTACAACGTGAGAAGGGGCTGCACTGCTGTCCTACCTAATCTCAAAGAGCTGCTATGTACCGGATGCAGAAGTAAATCCTCTGCTGTCCCCATGGACATGTGGTTCTCAAAAAGGTGCAGTAGCTCATCTCTGCATTTCCATAAACATCCACCACCTACAAGGAAATCTTGCTTAACAAGAGAATTAAAGGGAATGACACGTAGAGCTCTCTCCTCCACAGCTGTCTCTCCCTAATCCATAAACTTGTTTTTGCTTCTACCTTTTTCAGGAAAACAGGCGCAGCATTACGTGGTGGTACTTAACTCACATCTGAGAGAAACCAGGGCTGAGATTAACATGAGAACACTTTCCTTTAGCAAATTATATTGCCTTACCAAGGAACCTTTTTTAATAGTGCACGTCTGACTAAACAGTCCTTGGCAATGACAGCAAAACTGATCAACTGGAGGCCACTCTGTGACTGGATTAAGCCAACAGCAGAGTGTAACTTCCGCAGATGTCTCTGACTCATACCTTGTGGAACTGGAACGAGTTTCCTTTTGACTCTGGAAACTACCCTGAACTTACTAAAAACGCAGCAATTAAACTAAGCTTACAAGAGGGGTGGCCTTACAAGAGATAATGAAGGAATTAAATTGACATAGTTAGTTAGATTTGCCTAAGCCTCTGATGGTATTAAAAATACCATAATAACGTAACATTGATGTGAACAAGACAAGGAATTACGTTTAGACTGTTTTATCACCTCAAGGAAAACAAAGACTCGGGAAAAGCTAAGGTGCAAATAATACAGTGGATGACAACAGAGGAAATTAGTAAAAATATAACATATTTGTGGTTCATACAGATTTTAACCATAGCTGTATAGCTTTTCCTTACTTGGAAAAAAACATCATTCAAGTACTGGGGTAATTTTGCCTGAGTGAAATGGATTCAACCCACTACATAGTTGCAAGTTCAGCTACCTGGAGGTCAGTGTGTTAGCACATTAATTTAAAGCATTCTTGCTTTTCTGGACTAAATCGTAATGCATACCAAGTGAGAAGCAGTTTACTGGTTTTGCAAGAGAAATAAACTACTTCCACTCAGTTCACACTGAAGTGTTATTCACACCACCTACATCCTGTGCCTAAGTTAGACAGTGAGAAAACTGCCCAAAGAGGCAAGCTGGTGCAGGGCAGCTGGTGGCCTGCAAATTCACACTACAGCTTCACACAACAAAATCACTCTGTGCATTTTAACAGCTCCAAACCCTACACTATCACTTGAATGGAAGTGTACTAGCTCTGGCTTACCAAAAGGTGCAATGACTTTAAAAATACATTAATAATTTATAAAATACGTGATTTAACACCTGTGCCACTTAGAAGACACTCAATTCCCCAAACTATGAGATTTAAAAAACCTGTTTGCTCTTCGCAGACTGCAAATAGTTTTAAAATTAAATGGTTACAGAAGAGAGCTGAACAGATTCTGTACTCATTTACACAATGGAGTTGCTTCTGCCAACCATCAATGTATCCAAGAATGAAACCAGGTTCCAAAATCAGAGATGTAGCTAGGTTCACATTTCTTGTCTCTCTGAAATAATTTGGGGATAATAAATGATCTTCTGCTGTCTCTCTCAACAGCCTGCAATTCTGTGAAATTCTGGAGACAACAGGATAACACAAGCTGTTGCATTGTTCCATTTGATTATAATGCTTGTAATACTAATCCCATCTGATAAGATGCTGTATTTGTTGCATTATTTATCTGTATTTTCATGTTTTTACCTCAGAATTAAACTGATTGCTATAGACAAGTTTCTAAAAAGAAAACGTAACAGCAAAACAATCCAGTCAATATAAAAAAGATACTAAACAACATGTTTTGGAAAAAATACCTTTCAGTGCTTTGGCAAAGAATGCTGGAAATATTCATCATTCTGTTAACATTACTCAGTTTACACACATACAGTTCTTCAGAACTAACACAGCCTAGTGTGATGGGAAGTTAAAAATCTCTACTGCTTTAGAAATGTGAAGACAAATAATAAATAAAACTATACATTGCACGTCCTTCAGAATCTTATCAATGGAACCTTCTCTCAGGCCCATAAGCAGGCATTATCCCTCTTAAAAAAATATCCAATAGGTTAAACTATTACACCATATGATTTTATACCTGGGCTAACGTTGCAATCTGTGGTTGTGCCTGTACTGTCATCTGTTGGGTTTCTGCCTCTGTAACGGCTGCATCTCCACTCTGCTGGTTCTCTGCTCCAGATTCCATGGTCATTTAGTTACCTACAATCACAATATTGGTCGTAAGTCTGGGTTGGTATGCAAGTCCATTGTTCTTGGTGGATCTCGCAGCAATCACTGCAGATGAATTCCCATTACTACATACTGTTTTCATTTGCTTATTAAAATGTTGCCAAACTATCAGCATTCAGGCAAAATATGTTCAAGCCAGGTGTCTGACTCACGCTGGTTTTTCTGTGTGTCATGTTTCTGAAAAACAGGTCCAGTCTCCTCCAGTGATGAGATGAGAAAAAATGTGGTTAGCTCATCTTAAAAAATTGTTTGAGCAAATGCACCACGATGACCTAGCATCTCTGCAATTTGGGATAATGACCAGCACTAACAGGAAGGGCACTCCTTCAGTGCCAAGTGGACAATATGCCCTTCCACAGATCCCCTCTCCCCCACAACTGCAATTTGCAGACAACCATTAGCAATTGCTTCTGTGTTGGGTACTTAGTTTTCAGTCTTCTTCTGTGTGACTAAATATGCAACATCTCCATGCAAATTCTTTCCACAACGAGACTGTCCAGCCCTGCGTCATGGCAACTTAAGTCTTCTCTAGTCCGTAGTTTGAAAGTCAGTAGACGTAACGATGGAAGCCATTTTTACTTGAACCTTACTGCAGATATGTAGTTTTACATTTAAAGGTACATAGTAGTTTGTCATGACCTAAGTATTGTATAATATATAGCTCCTAACACACTTATATTTCTAAGCAATAACTGAGCAAGCCTAGATCACCATAACACACAACTCTATAAAAAGAGGTTGCATAACTTCCAAAACCATGCATGTAGGCAGAGTGCAATGAATGCTAAATTCTGCACTGATCTGTGAAAATTACTTTTCAGTTCTTCTTTAAATACTGATTATGAAAATATTTAATATACCAAACCGAAATTCAAAATACAAGGAAATGCTCCCCAGGGTGATATAGCAATAGCACTGTATTATACAGAACTCCAAATACCAAGTATTAAGCACGGATATTACCTCCACAGCTGTAATACTAATTCTGTGTACCACCCTGTGCTGCCCAATCTACTCAGGCCTCTGGCTACCCTAAGGCAGCACACCTCTCTTCAGAGCTGGAGCAAAACCATAGAGTAGAGCATTTCTGCTTGGGAAAGGGCCTGGAGGCAGAGGATGCTCAGATGAGAAAGGTGGAAAGAAGGAGAAATGTCCCTCTCCTTACTCAACTTTACTGCCCCCACCATGGAAAAGACTTAGAAGTGTCAATGCAGGTGGTGGTACCATGACCACATTCAGAACATCTCATTTTCAACACGAAGTCAGGGAAACTTCCACTTCAATGCAAACTATACTTTAGTATTACCAGAAAGAATACTTTTTGGAGATGAACTGCCCAAAGCAGTAAAGTCACGCTTCAACCCTGAGCGTAATATGAATGAATACTCTGTCTTAGAGTAAATGACTGCTTTCAATAAAGATAAAACAGCATTTCATATTAGCAGTAATATTATCTTGCATCAAAAGAAAGCAAGTCAATGTATGTAAATCAAAATCTGTATTTTCAGATTGAAAAGTGACTGTGAGTAAGTTTGTGTGTGTTAGAACATGGGAACGTTTAACTACTGAATACTTAGTTGCATCATCAGTTTAGAAGCTCTTAGGAAATGAGAAGAAGGAAAAGAATTAAACCTGATCTTCCTTAAAAACAAACAATGGAAGAAAACATACAAATTTTTGGAAACAAACAGATTAAATTTTTCTAAGCATCTGGAGTTTTGCTATGCCTCTCCTTGTTGCCATAATTTTTGTCCCACATAAATCTGGTATTAGTCTCACAAATGTTCACACAAGAACAATAATCTATCTACATGGACATACTCGTCAACTGGCCATGAAATATATTAACTGTAAACTCATCACATTTTAAGTAGTCTAGACATAAAAAAATTTTATTGCAGGAATAGCCTGTGCCCATGCAAATGTAGTAACTCCATTCTTCCCTACACTACCCAGTCTTCTCCATGTTGCATTTCATCTTCCAGAAAGCACAAAAGAAAACCCATGCACTATTACTATTTCTTGTATGTTACCAAACAGTTCTGAAAGACTTCATTAATGTGGTTTTCTATCCCAACTTCAGCACACGAGTTATATTTAAGTCTTAGTCCTCCATGTTACATGCCCAATTTTTTTCTAGTATTCTGCATTTTCAGAAGTGTGAACTACAAACTAGAGTACTGTAGATTTTGATTTTTATCACTTTAAAGGAGGTATCCAGTTTTATCCCTTTTTTGTGAGTATCAGCTCCTTTGTCCAATGTAAGCAAACCAACAACTTTTTCCCAATTCCTATGCATGTATCATGGTGACTCAAGCCAAAAGACTACCTCATCGGAACCATTTCAGGAGCACATCTTTTGCATGAGCAACATCTCCCAGCCAAGTATCTGAAAACAACTTTTAAAAAAGGAATTTCCCTGCAAGAAGAAGTGTCTTGCAAAACTAGTAATGCTTTTGCTTGCTGACAGAAATCCCAACTCCACTATGAAGTCAATTTCTATACAAATGGATTAGAAATGGATGAAATGTGCAAGCAAGGAGTCTCTTGAATCAAGTATTTAGCAATGTTCACAAAGGTAGATGTTGCCAAATTCCTGTGATAAAAGCAATGTTTTCCTAGGAAGAATTTCCAATCCTCTTACACACTATTCAAGCAAAGGACCTCTGGTTTTACAAGCTTAGTTTCCACACTTGCATCATCTTTTGCATACGTAATCAGCAAAAGCATTAACTATTTGAGGTGCTCCCTCCTCTACAACACCACCATTTCAGAAATCAAATTCTTAATGTGACTTGCAAGCACCTGAAAGGAACCTCCTAACATACATAAAGCACCAAGCAATGCAGGAAGCTGCCTGCATCTTAACAAATGCAGTTTAAGCAAGTTTCCCATGTAACTTGTGTTATTTTCAGGTTCTAAGTACTTTTGAATTTGGTTCAATCTACGTGCACTTATGCATTACAGTATTTGTATTTGAACATCTTCACTAGTACCTTTTACAGTAATCTGTGAGAAAAAGGAATCGTACTTTTGAGCATCACAAATTCATATCCCACATTCACTGATTACTACGTTGTTTGATGTTTGCTTTAACAGTACAGTATGATTAAGATTGCAAAGATATAAAAGACCAAGCATCTAGAACAGAAATACTTATTAAGCTGTGTGTACAAAGAAGACCATGATGGCTGAAATTAAGGTAGTCAATTCCTATTAGTTCTTGCAATTTACAGTGTAACAGATGAAATTATGTTTGGTTTGAAAACTTAACCTGCCCACACATACAAATGAACACCAATCTTCACACCTCCTTTCTATGCTCTCATACACCCCTTGTTTAGACCAGCTTTACTGACCAGTACCCCAGTGCCTTTCTGCTCCTGTGGATAGATGCTCAGGCCCAGCCTATGCTTTTGCTCCTCCTGCCCCATTTGCAGTGGCTCACCCTTCTCGCGGGCACTGATTTCCCTGGCAGCCACCACACCAGGACTTCTCTACTGGAGGACGTGGTCTAAAAGTGTCCTGGTGGGAAGCAAGTGTCCAGGGCAGGGAAGGCAAATGGGAGCAGAGGGAGGAAAGCTTCTCATTCCCCTCTGCTTCCAGGCTGCTTTCCATCTTGTCAGGAGAGGACTCACCCCCCCTGCTCCTTTGAGAAAAAGTTAGTAATTGCTGTAGTTCTTCTTGAACCAAGTGGTCCAAATGAAAATAACTCAAAAAACAGTTAGCTATTAACAACCAGAGCTGGAAAACCAGAGTCTGCTTGCCTAGAACACCCCAGCTATGAATCCTGAACACGGATTAAGAAATCTGATGAGATTACCTGGTTTGAGAAGGTTTAACTCTTGCTTTTATGTAATACACAATTTTATTAGATCAAAAGAGCTACTATTATACTAACTAATACTTTCTTAATAACATACTTACTAATGATCTGAAATTCCAGAGGTGAAGAGCCAAAGAGCAAAACATTCAGCTGACACCCAGTAATTTGTTTTAGCCAAATGAGGACTGGGAGAAAGAAGTTCAGCAGAAGATAACTAAATGTATTAACTGAATTTACACCATGACGGTATAGCAGAGGACGGATGCTACTAAACACAAACAGCTGCAGAGTGCAGGGAAATGGAACTACAAACATTGTAGAAAAATCCAAATAAACCTGTTCTGTTAATTGCAAAAACATGGAAAGGAGGCCTGGGCACTACAGCACATAGTTCACTTTGGATTTCTGCTTAACACTTGGATTTCTGCAGACAACATCTATGACAAGGAAAGCTAAAGTGGTAGATGGCAACAGTAGTAGGAGACAGGGTGATCTTTAAAAATTATATTTGTATAGATGGGCCCTATACATCAGCTGGATTACAGAGGTTGGGAGCCCATCTTAAAATGGGTTCTGGAATGTGGGTGTTTAGAGAAAGCAAGCATTTGGGGCAAAAAAACCTGCTGTATGAACAGACTGGACAGAACTGTGTTATTTACCCCAGAAAGGAGAGAAATGCTTCATACACTAAAAACTATATTTAAATTAGTAACAGAGTAAGTACATTAGAAATATTCACTGCCTGATTATAAGAACAGTGAAGCTGAAAGGTGAAAAATTTAAAAGTATAAAAATCAAAATTTAAAAATATATATGAGAAAAAAATCACGAAAATTGATACTTTATGTATGGAACAAATAAAGCACTGCTGCTGCTGCTAAGCAATTTATGAGAACTGAAACAGGGATTAGACATGCACATGGATAACAAGAATATCCAAGAATATCCAGAATTAATATGGTTATTTCATACCAAAAAAGTTCAGAACTAAGAGGAAGATCATGAGTCAGGATTTAAATCAATCTCTAACTATTAAAAAATCCAATAAAGATTTTAATGAGAGGGGAAGATTACATCACATGTAATTCTTGCTGGTTCCAATAGTCTTTTGAGGAACCTACTGATCTTTCAGTACTTTAAAGAC